CTAGTTCATGCATTCATGACCTCTAGACTGGACTATTGTAATGCACTGCTAGGTGGTTGTCCTGCATCTTCAATAAACAAGCTACAGGTAGTCCAAAATGCAGCGGCTAAAGTCCTTACCAGGTCAAGAAAATATGATCATATTACCCCAATTTTACAGTCTCTGCACTGGCTACCTATTAAGTTCCGTATCGGTTACAAAATATTATTACTTATACACACACACACATTGAGACAGCCAATCCTACAGTGTTTCCTGTACATTCCCAGTGTCCCCACAGGATTTTGTGAGACTATGGTGGGTGCACATTGGTTCCTCTAGTCTAGGGGGTTCCAGGCGTAAGAACATTTTGTTCAATTTAATTTTAAATACATTAATCTGGTTCATTTTGAGAGCAGAATCAAGTGACTAGATCAATGAAGAAATATGTGCTCTTGTAAACAATTTTTTGTTCTACTAGTAATTTATTTATTGGTTGCATAGATGTGCAGTGCTGTCAGACGCTCAGCAACAAATCCTCCTTTAATGTTTCTTATGGGCCAGTGAGGGTCTTTTTTTTGTTCGCACTGAAGTAAATTTAAAACAATAAAAAAAAATAGTCTGGCCAATCATAGGCCCCTGCACACGTGGGGCCCCTAGGCTACAGTCTAGGCAAGCCTGTGCGATGAGGTTTTGCCACAAACTAACTGGCTTCTCTCCTGTATAATTTATGTCTCTTCAGACCTTAGAACTGTACATGAATGAAGAGCTTCTAGAACGTTTGACCTCCTAACTTAAGTCCTTTTCACAAATTGAACATAGAAATAAAAACAGTATAAATAACAAAAAATAACTGGGCCAGAGCCGGCTCACTTCTGGCGAGCTGCTGCCGACACACAGCCGAGTGAGCCGACACTCAGCCGCAACCGGCCCGATTCCGCTGGCTACCTGGGAAATATGTAGACTAATTTGCGCACATCAGGGAGTCGCTCTCAAAACGCGGGGTATTAAAATCGCTTTTGAATGCGCGTCAAGTCAAGTCACCATTATTTATGTAGGGGTCTGAACGTGAACGAGCGCACCTTTTTTAACAACCAAAAAGTGGCTGTTTCGTTGTCTGTTGAGGAAGTACAGACGTTCTTCTCGTTGATAGCAGAGGAGCGGATCCAGCGAGAGCTTGATGGGGCGACGCGGAATGAAAAAGTTTTTCAGGAGTCGCGACAGTAGAGGCGGCGCAACTAACGACATGTGAATAAACCTGCCCACTCTAAAGCGATACTAAACTGCAGTGGAAACGCAAACTGAACCGAGCCGTACCACGCAGTGGAAAAGCGCCAAGACAGGATCACTTCAAAAATCGACCTGAAATAGTAGACCATCCAGGGACTTTTGGCATAGGCATAGCCTACTCTTTTCAACATACTATGCTTTGGGACACACTTATTCTAATCTCCCATACTATTTAGGATGGATAGTATGAACATTCAGACGCAGGGCAGGTTTTTGCTGGTCAACAGCAATAGCAAAGTGCCAGCAATGCGCCTGAACACACCTCGTTTCCAGACCAGCACGCCCATGGGCGCACAAATGGGCGGATTGGGCGCAAATGCATTTGCTATTTAAACAGTGGGGTGCAGGACGTGAAAATGAAAAAAAAAAAAAAAACACTTGCGTCGCGCCTGGCGCCGCATTGCGCCGGGTGTATGATAGGGCGCTATATGTAATGTGCAACTCCATGATTGCTTGAGTCAAAACCGATCGCAGAGGGAAAATGAGTGCAGTGACCCGGGCATGAGTGTGTGATACAGAACATACAGGTGCATCTCAATAAATTAGAATGTCGTGGAAAAGTTCATTTATTTCAGTAATTCAACTCAAATTGTGAAACTCGTGTATTAAATAAATTCAATGCACACAGACTGAAGTAGTTTAAGTCTTTGGTTCTTTTAATTGTGATGACACGACATTCTAATTTATTGAGATGCACCTGTAAGATCCTCTCACAGAATGGCATTTGTTATTTTAGTATCACTGATTTTTATTTGTGTTTTGAGTTTTATATATATATATATATATATATATATATACATGCATACATGCATACATACATACACACACATATATATATATATATATATATATATATATTCCATAGGGTATTCCATTATAAAGTTAAGTTTTAAGTTATAATGTTAAGTTTTACTAATGTTATGTCTTTTTTTTAACACCTTCATTTTTATTTCAGTTTTATATATTTTAGTACATCAAGTTAAAAAACTAAATGAAAATTAGAATGTTGCCTTGGCAATTAGCTGAAATAAACTAAGTTTATTTCTGTCAAAGTTGATTTAAATTAAATTGGTATTTTATTTCAAGTATTGCACTTCAAGTATTTCAAACGTAATGGTTTTAGTTAGCTCTAATGACCTAAATGGTAAGCCAACACAATGAAATATTGAGCTGTTACTTATTAGTTGAAACTTCCTGCTGGAAGGCAATTTTAGCTAAAATATTTCTTAAGCATTCCTTTGTTAAATGTTTATAGGTTACACTTGATTCTGTTTTGCCTGATCATGAAACCGGGGGCTGTTTCATAAAACAAGTTTAAACAAGCCAGGTTTATTTCAGTTAATCTGACTTATTGTCAGTTGATTTGGTTCAAAATAAGTCAGACTAACTGAAATAAACCCGGCTTATTTGGTAAATTTGTTTTATGAAACAGGCTCCTGATTATTCAAGTCTGGTAATATACGTTAACTGAAATACTTCCTTGAATTACAACACAAATCTTGAGTCCAAAAGTTAGCTGTCTGTCTGTCTGTATTTATGTAAATACCTTCTTCAGTTATTTTAGGATGTGCCACACCATTTACACCAGTACAGTGCCTGGCCTGCAGTAACTGGTTGCATAACTGAGGTCCGTGCTGCTTTCACTGCCTGCAGGCCATGCAGAGTGACACATTCACAGCCATGCAGAGATGTGACAGACATTCACAGCTTTAGTGTGGGTGACAGCGATGGAGCAGCATCCAATGTGAATAATTTTGGTTAGTTCTCTTTTCTTACACACAAACACTGACATTTGTTTTTCTGGTAAGAACTGTATTGACTTCTATTGTTATTACTGAGCTACAGTGATAATATTGCACATATTCTTTGGCATAGCATCTCATAATTTTGACTTTTTAATCTAATTATTTTTACTTTTTCATAATAATGATTTTTATGGCATAATTATGATTTGCCAAAACATGATTTTTTTTCTTATGTGGCAGAAATTGGCCTTCATAGTGTAAAGGCCTTTACACAAAGAACAATAACTAAAACCATAAAGTTAAAACTATAAGAGGAGATATTGTGGGAATCACTTTCAGAATGTTTTTTTTTCCCGGAGCAATTATTGACAATAAAAATATTGTCAATATATTAAATCCCTTGCTAAGCTGAACTTGACACGAACTTGGACTCTCAGAGCACTTTTCTGAGAACAGTCAGTGGAAAGTATGCAAATAATATCATCCAATATTGACCACAAGTCTGTGTATTTTAGCATTCTTTGCATTCCTCGCAATGTCTTAGCGTTCCACACTTCTTTAGTCTCCACTGAAACATTCATTATCATATTAACTTAATTTTTAAATGTTTGTTTTCACGACTATCAGAAAATACAATTATATAGAATGTAAAAAAATATATATAGTCCTTTAATTTCGCTTTTATTGAAAATGAAAACTGTAAATGAAAATCACTAATAGCAGGAGTTTGGCGCCCTCTGCTGTATGACATAATATCTACAGGTACAGTTTAAGGATCTTCATGAACGTAAATAAGGCTACTGGATATGTACATGAACGACCTTTTATGTACACTCTCAATACTGTTTTACATTTGTTTTATTTATATTTCAGTCACGTTGAGGAACACAGAAATATCTTTAATAATAGGCTACATGTATTGTTGTTTTTCACACAAGATGTTAAAACCAGATGCTAAATTATTTTGATAAAAGTTAACATCGGACAGTTCAAATAACGGAAAGCTTTTTCTTAAAGGGGTCATATGATGCGATTTAAATTTTTCCTTTCTCTTTGGAGTGTTACAAGCTCTTGGTGCATAAAGAAGATCTGTAAAGTTGCAAAGACTAAAGTCTCAAATCCAAAGAGATATTCTTTATAAAAGTTCAGTCAGCCAGCAGCATCATATGACCCCTTTAAATTTGGGAGACAGGTTTATAACCACGAGTGCTCTACCAATGAGCTGCTACGCAATGGCAAGAGCCAATCACGTGCTCCGCCCCTTGATCAAAACCCCGCCCACTCCGTTTCATTCACGGACGTGCTGCAATCATTCATTTATAGTCGAACAGAAACAGTCACGGGTCGCACTATTACTAAATTAATTCAGAGTAACCGTCAACATACATATGACCGTTTAACCACGTCGATCGCTTATTTGTTTATCCGTTGAATTACAGTTTAGTTCCGAGTTAGATCAACATGGAGAACGGCCTGGAAAGCACAGGAGACAGTCGTCTGGATCAGGCTGTCACGCAGTGGCTGCAGTATGACAAGGTAACACCAAACATATGCTGCTGTGTAGCTTCAAGTAGCTTTAAATATGTTAAATCTGACATCTTTAGTGTTGAAAACTGAAGTTTAGTAGCTTGTTACCAAACCTGGCTTAAAAGTTCCTTTGAAGTGGCTTATTAACTAACATCTCAGTTATGAAACAGTGAAGAGAAACACCCTGACATTGCTTTATAATGTAATGACCCACTAAAGCAGTTTTCAGAACTAGACCTGCTTGTACAAGATGCTTTTCAGGAAGTGCTCTTACTAACTAAATTACTCGACATGATCTGAATAGCGATTCAGTCAGTTCCTTATTGATATGCAGTTATTTAAAATAGACTTTTGATCAGAGACTGATCAATCCTGCATAAAGTTAGTTTAGGTCTATACTCTCATTTGTCTCTCAACTGTAAAATTAATATGCAATACTGTTCAGAAGTTTGGGTGTAGTAAGATTTTATTGTTTTTGAAAGCAGTCTCTAATGTTAACCAAGGCTGCATTTATTTGAGCAAAAATACAGTACAAACAGTAATATTTCTATTTAAATATATTTTAAAATGTCATTTATTCCTGTGATGCAAAGTCTTCAGTGTCACATGATCCTTCAGAAAGCATCCTAATATGCTGATTTGATGCTCAAGAAATATTCATCCATGTTGAAAACAGTTGTGCTGCTTAAAATGTTTGTGGAAAATGTGATTTATTTTTCAGGATTCTTTGATGAATAGAAAGTTCAAAAGAACAGAGTTGATTTGACATAGAAATCTTTTGTATAAACATCTTTACTATTTTGTTTACAGTAGCATTTATAAATGTCTTTACTGATGTCTTTAGATCAAATTTAATATGGATCCTCACAGAATAAAAATAAAAAATCTTACTGACCCCAAACTTTTGAACAGTCGAGTAGATGAAAAAGCAAATCATATTATCAATACTTTGACATGTTAAAATCTCTTGACTGCATATATTGGCAAATCTGAGCAGCTCACAGATCACGGTGTTATTTTTCTCAAAAGAAAAATCTGAGAAGCAAGAGATTTAAGAATAAGCCTCCAATTTATATCAAGATAAACATGTGTAATGTCTCTTTAGCAGTGTTTTGGAATTGGGCAAATGTGGCTGATTTATTTGCTACAAACGCATTACTTGCCTGAACTCAAATTGAAAGAGCATTGTGCTTGGAAAAACAAAGAAGCACGGCACAAAACAGTTTCTAGACTGTCCCAGTTACACTGAAACACTTAAACAGTATTAGAGTATCCCCTAAGACACCATTTAAATAGCATGTAAATAAGTGTCAATGGACATTTCCATAAAAGTACTTACAATGCATATTAGTGCTGTCATTACAGCAATTGGAGTCCTGTGCTTAACTGGGTCACATGAAACAGTTAATGGTTTTACGCAGAAGTGGAAGGTCATTGATTAAGTAAAATTAGACATTCAGGTGATTTCAGCCATTTTTAAGGTGCAAATATGTATGTACACAATATGTGTTTAACAATATGATTTTTTAAAACTGTATATTGGCTGTGTATTCACCAAAATGATTGTATTGGCCTGGGTTCTGCCCAGACAGGTCATCATAAGAATTTATGCATTCAGGAATGGATCAGAGCCCTTCGCTTGCATCCTCACATGGTCTCATTTATGAGTAGAATGAAAGCATATTGTCCCTCACATGGTGGACAGGAGACATGTAGACACACACTCACCCACAACACTAATCAGAATCATCAGGACAAAGTGCCTAGAGATATAGAGGCTCTTTTCATCCCCCATTCTCTTTCTTTTATTGTCACTGCTATATAAAACTGACCCTATTTACTTTCTTAATACACATTCCTGGTCTAATTGTGATTTTGTGAGTGCACATTATTTGAAAAGATTATTTTTGTGTGTGTGTGTTTACAGAATCCAAAGACGGCTGCTGCTGTGCGGTCTATGGTTAAGGATAGAGCCATGTCAGAGCTGCAGAAGTGTTTCGGGGCCCGTATGGAGTTTGGCACAGCGGGACTGAGAGCCACCATGGGACCTGGAGTGTCCTGCATGAATGACCTCACCATCATACAGACCACGCAGGTGACATACTCTACACAAGCTTTCCGTGACATCTTATCACTTATTATCTTTTCACTCTGAATAATATACAAGAGGCCTAAGCTATAATATCAGATTAGGGTATTCAAGTGCTCTTGGTTCCCCACAGGTGCCCTATAGGCTGGCGGTTTGGTAGTATCTTGGTTGTATGTAAGCGACCAAGATAGTCAAAACAGCAGCTGATAATGTTTGTTATAATAGTAAAGTATGTCCTGGGAACTATATAACCTCCTACTATGCAACACCCACATCTCAAAAATCCAATCAACAACCCATTCATAGAACCAAGTACATGCCATTATACTTGTATGTATGTCACAATACAGAAAAAAGTCACTACTTCCGTTTCATCGCGACTTTAAGGTGCAGTCACATTTGCAAAATCTTGTGGGCAAATAAGGTCTGTTGCCTGTTATCAAGAGTAGTTGTCTGTGTAGTGATGTATACAGTTGAGGTCAAAAGTTTACACCCCCTTTCAGAATCTGCAAAATGTTAATTTTACCAAAATAAGAGGGATCATACAAAATGCGTGTTATTGTTTATTTAGTGCTGACCTGAATAAGATATTTCACATAAAAGATGTTTACATATAGTCCACAAGAGAAAATAATACTTGAATTAAAAAAAAATGACCCTGTTCAAAAGTTTACATCCCCTTGATTCTTAATACTGTGTTGTTACCTGAATGATCCACAGCTGTGTTTTTTTGTTTAGTGATAGTTGTTCATGAGTCCCTTGTTTGTCCTGAACAGTTAAACTGCCTGCTGTTCTTCAGAAAAATCCTTCAGGTCCCACAAATTCTTTGGTTTTGCAGCATTTTTGTGTATTTGAACCCTTTTTAATGAATCTGAGGTAAAATGAACTGGCACTACACAGCGTCTTGTTGTCTTCGGAGCACCTTTATTGTTTGGTTTCTGTGTAGACCTGCGTTCGCCTCTCGTTATTTACACTACATGGGCGAATCGGTGGGCGGGGCTAAACAGGCAGTGATGTAGAAGCAGGCATTGATCATCTTCTGTGGAGGTGGTGTTTAGCCACACTATTATATCTTAGAGTTGTACATTCCATAAGCTGTTTTTAAACTAACAAGACAGTTTTCAATTCTGAAAATTACAGGATGTTTTTATAGCACAGTCACTTATATATCAAAAGATCATGGGAATTTTGGTTTCTCAGTTCATGACCCTTTAAAATAAATTACAGATGGCAGGTATTCCTATTGAAATAACTGGATTTCACCTGCAAAAATTAGGTGAACAATGGTAAATGTGACCTCACCTTTATGTTGCTGCAGTGCTACTCACATACATATTCATATGTATATGTATATCAGTATACATATCCAGCCATTGATCATCTTCTGTGGAGGTGGTGTTTAGCCACACTATTATATCTTAGAGTTGTACATTCCATAAGCTGTTTTTAAACTAACAAGACAGTTTTCAATTCTGAAAATTACAGGATGTTTTTATAGCACAGTCACTTATATATCAAAAGATCATGGGAATTTTGGTTTCTCAGTTCATGACCCTTTAAAATAAATTACAGATGGCAGGTATTCCTATTGAAATAACTGGATTTCACCTGCAAAAATTAGGTGAACAATGGTAAATGTGACCTCACCTTTATGTTGCTGCAGTGCTACTCACATACATATTCATATGTATATGTATATCAGTATACATATCCAGCTTGGTGTACATTTAGACTAAAGGGTAGTTCACACCAATGTTAGGCATGAAAATTTGGTCAGATTTTTGCATGGAATTTATCTGTTCAAACCAATGAGAAAAATGGGCAGATGGGCTAAATAAAAATGCACATTCATTCTCTGACAGGAGGTGGTACTTGTAGAAAAGCAGAAATACAGAATATGAAAGGGCAGTGGAGTGCAACTTTTCATTTCTGACAACCTTTTTGTTAAATAGAAGTCAAGCAGTATTTATATTTGCTCTGCTATTCACTGTTGCTTAGCAAAATAGTGTTTTTGTGAGCGCTACCAAGCCATCCGCTTGTTAAGTAGTGACGTAAGGAATGCTGTTTCCAGGTCCAAGCCTCTAATCATTTCACTTCAGAATACCATCTCAACAGCTGTTTATGAGCTCTATTTATTCATATTACCAAACCTTCATCTTGGTGTGAACAGGCCTTAAAGGGATACTCCACTCATTTACTCACCTGTCCCAGATGCATGACTTTTTCTGTGGAGCACAAACAGAGATTTGTAGAAACTTTGCAAAGCATAATCAAGTTAATGGGCAAAACTGTGTGTTCCACAAACCATTTATCACATTGTCACAATAAATTTGGTGTCCTGTAAGGCTATGGATCGATGGTAATTACCCTCTTTTGCTTCTGGTAGGGTTTCTGTGCGTACCTGGAGCAGTGTTTTACAGATCTGAAGCAGAGGAGGGTGGTGATCGGGTTCGACGCTCGCGCTCACCCCCCTAGTGGCGGTAGCAGTAAAAGATTCGCCTGTCTTGCTGCTTCTGTCTTGATCAGTCGAGGCGTCCCAGTCTACCTCTTTAGTGACATCACACCCACTCCATATGTGGTACGTATGAACCTGCTGTACTCATGGAGAGAAAGTTCAGATTTATTATTAATTCTGATATGTTAGAGCCATGGTGGTAGAGCACGGCACATTAGCACCCATTTAGGGGTGCAGGTTCGAGTCTTGACATTGGCATGTTCCAGTACCATTTACTTTGTTCTCCTCCATTTAAATTGTTCTCTTAACAATAAAAAAGAACAAAAATGTCCTTTACTTGGTCATGCCTTGGCACAGTAATAGTATCACCATGGTATTTTGACATATGCTAGTGTACTGAATGATTACCATAATAATTTCTATGCAACATATTCAAAGATATAGTAACATTGTCCAGATATTTTCTGTTCATTATTTAGAAGTGTTGTCCATTGGGGGTAGAGGTTTGTGTTCTAAGATCTTTGAAATTTGCAACTTCCTGCTACAAAGAACTAATCACAAACCAACATCCAAACGCATGAGAAAGGAGACAGAGAGACACAACTGCACGTGAACACATTGTGAGATTGTTGCATAAGAGACTAGAGGGGTTCATGAAGATTCTTCACCAATCATCAACTTTTCTGTTCCCATGAGTACACGGACACGCTCTCACTCATTCTCTTATCACTCTCTCAACCTTTCCCTTTGAGCCCTCAAACAGCTTGCTCTCACTCTGTGTCCTCTAGCCTAAAAACTTTTTGGTCACTGTTATGTAAAATGGAAGTATTAGTCCAAAAAAACATTGATTTAAAAAGTAAAAAATAATGTAATTTGAGAGGGAAAATGTTATGCCATCCGCATAACTTGCCATCTCTCCAAATCTGTAACTTGGTGGCCCTGGTGGTCTAAATGTCATATTTTAAATTTTCAGCTAAGCATGGGTTCTGGGTAAAATTTTTGGCACAGTCAGAGAGCTGCCACAGCATGGTCATGTGCGCCTTGCAAGCGCAGAGCACGTTTGTTCAACCGTGCTTTTTTTGGACATATACCATGTACTTTTTATGTTGTGTTACTTTTATAATTTACATGATACATTGTTGTGTTACTCTTAATAAAAGATATCTACTATGTGACTAATAACTAATTATGTTTAGTACTTACACTACTGTTTAAAAGTTAGGGGTTAGTATGTCCTTTTGAAATGTTTATTTATCAAATTTATCATGGTATCCACAAAAATGTATAAAAACGGATAGTTCCCTCCCAAAAAAATCATTGTAAACCACTGTTTCTTGGGGCTGATTGCTTTAATTTAGCAGAGCAAAAAAATGAACATCTCTTCTCTTCCCTTCTTTTCTTTTAGCCTTTTACCGTATCACATCTAGGATTGTGTGCTGGTGTTATGGTAACAGCCTCCCATAATCCCAAACAAGATAATGGATACAAGGTAATATCGATCCCTAAATAAAATGTTTGATTTGAAAGAATATAGCATGTTTGATATGACGCATTTTTCAATATGTGTGTTTAAGGTGTACTGGGCAAATGGAGCTCAGATCATTCCTCCCCATGATAAGGGCATCGCTGCAGCTATTGAACAGAACCTTGAGCCGTGGCCTAAATCATGGGACACAGATGGAGCTCTTCAGAGTTCCCTACTCAATGACCCATACCAGGACATACACAGAGAATACTGCAAAACCATACAACAGCACTGCTTTCACAGGTACACTCACAAAGATATGCCTGCAGAATTCCATTTGAATGATCTGATATTCATTTTCAAAAATTCCACGATCAATACTTCCAGAACATGCCTTTTAATATCTTTTAATAATATTTCAATCATGACAACTCTTGGAACATTTTAGCATGGTGATGAATATGACAATGTTAATGTATTTGGTCTTGGCGGAACAGATCTGCTATGCTGCTGCTGAATTGCTGCTGCTGTTGGTTATTGCTGTAGTTGAAGATTATTGCTGCTGCTGCAAGCAAGTACAGGAACTTGCTACTGCCAATGCATATGGCAATACGGTGCCATGAGTATTTAAGACATACTGCTGCTGCACAAATACCAAGTTCGTTTAATCTCTGAATATCATCAGTTATGTTAACACCCCGTCAGAATGCGCCATCTAGTGTTTCATGACTGAACTATATATTTATATGCTACTTAAAGGGATAGTTCACCCAAAAATGAAAATTTGATGTTT